CCTGAGCTCTGTTTAACCCCGTTCCCTCTGGCCCTGCTCCCCTGCTGAACTCACCTGTGCTGCTCAGGTCCTGTTCACGGCTGCARTGGGGTCACAGCACAAGAGAGGAACTTTCCCCTCCACMCTGTTTCCCTCTGCACAAACATTTYRGCACWTTCTGCAGAGAMCTTGSCTGATTTCAGGGCAGTGTAATKGGSMAGGAGCTTTAAAGGCACTTTGATCAGCTCTCAGTGCTGAATTGAGCTCAGTGTCACTCAGGCTTTCCTGACCTTCAGTTCCTTTACTGTGCATCTTAGGCACAGCTTTGTGTCATTTGTAATACAATTTAATTTTCTTCACAGATCCTCAGACGTGCAGACACAAAGACATGAGGAAAGGATCCCTGGATGTCAGATCCACAACATCTCGAGGCAGTGATGGTATGTGAGACAGCTCTGGCTGAGCTGCACTTGTCATGCAAACCCAATACGCAAATCATTACATTTCTTAGCTCTTCTCTTGATGAAGATATGGAAATTTTTTTCCCTAATTTTGTTTTCTTTCACTGTATGTGTTTTGCTCTGTTAGATCACCCCAAACTTGATGGTTAAGTGACATACTCAGAACTGTTGCTGATAGTTAGATATTTTTGTTAAATTGTGCATCATCACAGTCTGCAGCACACACTGCTGAGGKGTGGCTGTGGCAGTGCTGTRCAGTCACACTCCAGGACAGCAAACACTGATTGTTCTTAACTGCTCAGCACAAKGAGTAACAGAGATGGTTCTGCATTTTATAGCCCAGCATCCAGAAAAATCTCATCGTGACCTTTCCTCTGCAGAACCAAAATTGCTAAGCAATAATACAGCATTTGTTTTTAAATTTCCAATGTATAGTAGGCCAGACCCTCTGCTGCTTTTATTTGGATTAGGTACCCACTTCAAAAGAGCTTCAGCGATCAGCTCAGCCTGGAAGCTGAGCCTGACTCATTATGACTTATTGCAGCTCCTCTCCTCTCCTCTCCTCTCCTTCTCTTCCCTTTCTCTCAGGCAGCTCCCAGCGCCGCCGCTCCTCCATGGCCAGGGTCCACTCCATGACCATCGAGGCACCCATCACCAAGGTAATGGCTGGGCTGGGCTTTGCTGGGCTGGATTAGGCTGGGCTGGGCTGGGCTTTGCTGAGCTGGGCTTTGCTGGGCTGAGCTGGGCTGAGCTGGGCTGGGTTAGGCTGGGCTTTGCTGAGCTGAGCTGCAGCCCTGCACAGGGGCTCTGGGGCAGCACCTCTCAGCACCTCTCTCTGCTGCAGCTCCAAAAGCAGATTCTCTGAACAAAGATCTCCAGAGCTGATCCCATGGGATCCCCACATGATCCTGTGTAAAACCTGCCCCTGTGAAGGAGGGACTGCAGCTCCTCCCTCTTGTTTATGCATTGCCAGCTGCTTTCTGAAACCATTCACAGATTTGTCAAAAATCAGATCTTTAATAAATTGAGAGAGGCAGATGGAGAAAGCTGCATTAAATGCATTCAGAGACATTTTGAGGCTGTGCCTTGGAAGAGAAAACCATTAATGAGATTTGTGTCTTCAAGGCCACAATTCCCAGAGTCAGTAGCAAACATCAGTGTTTCAGTGACATCTCTTTCATTTTAATTTTCCCTCATGTGGATTAAAGTTTTTGATCTTGTTATTTTCCTCAGTTTTCCATAGTAATTAATGAGTGTCTCTGTTTTTTAAATCACTTCTAACATGTCTGATGCTGCTTTAGGTAATAAACATCATCAATGCTGCCCAAGAAAGCAGTCCCTTGCCWGTTGCAGAAGCTTTAGACCGGGCTTTGGAGATTTTGAGAACCACTGAGTTGTACTCTCCACAACTGGGGACCAAGGATGAGGATCCACACACGAGTGACCTTGTTGGAGGGTTGATGACAGTGAGTACTCGCTGCACCAGCAGCTCGGGCTTGTTCCTCTGCCTGATTTTCTCATCTTGACCATGTCATGTGCTGCCTCTGCAATACCAATCGTCAGCAAAAACTGCAAAATGCAGTTTTGTGGTGTTTCTTGGGCCATGTTTGTACCTGTGGTGTTGTACCCAAAGCTGAACAAAGGGCACAGAGCAAAGCCAGGACTGARCCCAACCCTTGGCAGTCTGAGCCTKGTGAGGGTAACGAGAKGRGTTTGGGTGAATGKWAACTCTGCCTTYAGGATTTGTGTTCTCCTTGCTCTGTGGGCTGCATGTGAAAGGCAACGTCAGGGAAAAATTCAGAGTGTTGGGTACAAAAAGGATCACAGGGTGGGAGCTTTTCAGAGATGGCTCTGGGCTRTGATAATTTCATGTTGGAACCACCACGACGTCTCTGCAGTATCTATCAGAATCTTCAAATAGTTTATGGGTATTTTTACCTTTTAAAATACCACAGCAAATGTCTAATCCAGAGGAAAATATGGGACACTCAAAGAATTCCAGGAGAAGACCTGAACGGTTCATATTGGGTTGTATTTACTGAGTAGACAAAATATATTTGTATATTTACTTTGTAGACAAAAATATAGGAGGGATATTGATCCTTACAATCATGAGTCTCAACGTGAATCTTTTCTCCTGCTGAATACCTGAGTTCATAAACTCAGCTGTTTTCTCCTTTTTTTGTGGGTTGGTTCTTACACGCATTTGTGTTCAGATTGTGTTTGGTCCAAGAACATGAAGATAACAATATAAAAAATACTGCAAAATATAAAACCCTTACTAAAAATAAACCAAAGTCACTTTTATGAAGCAGTAAGAAAAGCTGAGAAAATCCATTTCAGAGCATGTGGCATGGTAGGAAGTTAYCAGAGAGAAACATTTTCCCATTAAACAGAATGATATTGTTCCATTTCGTGTTCAGGAGTTATGTCTGTGAAGGGGAATGAGTAAAGCATTATTGGATTGGAACTCTCACACAGGAAGGGCATTTGGAGTTCAAAGACAGATTTTCCAGATACAATTACACCTGCTGTATCAACTCTTMAAAAACTAATCTTTGGTTCTAAATGATGAGCAGCATCTGGTGTCCTAAATATTTGTCATAGCATTTTATTGAGCAGCCACTGTTGGAAACTCCCTTTCCTTTTAAATCACAAAACTCCAGACTCATATAGATATAACAATTCTTTTAAGAGCAAATATTCCATGTTCAAATACAAGTTCTGCTGTATTTGGTGTGAATAACCTTTTTAGTAAGGTGCATTCAGGATTCTCTTTTTTAAACACGGTTTTTTACATCATGGGCTAAACATGAGCTGACAGCTGTAACCTCAAAAGAGCAAGCAGGATTTGGGSCACAGCATTTAGAATTATAAAAGGAAAAGTCAATATTAAGTAGATAATTCTGTTATTTTGAATGCATCATCTCCGTGTTCACATCCAGGCATTGTGCCAGAATTCAGCCTGGGAGGGACAGAGCCCAACTCTGTGTGCTTTGTCTGGCCAAAGACTCGAGAGGCTGCAATTCCAGACCCCCATCTGCACCTGAGGAAYTGGGGTTTTACCTGAGTTCATTTTTTATTTTTTATTTGCAGTTTTTATTTGTTTGAGCTGCATGTAAAACAAGAGAGCTGTGCCAGTGCAGACAGATCAGTCACTCCGTGCCTGTGCCAGGCTGAGCCACGCTGCTCTGGGGTTGTTGTGCCACTGTTTGTAGCTACTATAGGTGTACATTATCTCCTACACCCTTTGTACAATTCCCTGTGTTTAACTTACAACTTCTGTTTCACAGGATGGTTTACGAAGATTATCAGGGAACGAATACATCCTGTCAGCAAAACGTAAGTTTTGATTTGGCAGCTGTTGAGATTCTAGAACATGTTCAGAAATTTCAGAACGGGAGATATGATTAGATGTTCTTTTTTATGAGCATTTTTTGTTTGGTTTATTTTTATCCATAAGCAWTTTTCTGCTGCGTTACTGAGCTTTAGAGAAACTGGAGTAGCCAGGTGTTACTGCAGGAAAGAAAACGTGTGCATTCAGTAAAAYTGCATCTCACTGTTACACATCTAGAGTAAGAGATTAGAGAGTTAAACCAGAGTTAATAAATACCTGGAGTAATGACTGTGTTCCTCCACAGAAACCCATCAGGTCYCTGGCAGTGTGAGCTCCCCCATCTCCCTCAGTGACATTCCCCCTCGGATAACACAGGCCATGGAAAATGAGGAGCAGTGGGATTTTGACATCTTTGAACTTGAGGCTGCCACCCACAAAAGGTCAGTGAATACAAGAGCTCATAAACTGAAGCTGCTGAAAAGTGACTGAAATGTCATCTTGTAATCATGTTAAATTCTCTACCTGTGCTTTTACAATGGGATTAGATTTATTGTCATTGTAAAAYGTTGGAAATTTTCTYRCTGTCATTTCTAGTTGTATATGAAMCTTAAATMTCTTCTGTTTCATCATACACTACTTCCTGCAAATTGCCAGTGGGTATAAGTGAAGATTRTATATCTTTGGTATGGTATAATGACAATACAACATAATTTTTAAAGCTTTTTTTTTATTCAATAATAGAAAAGTTATACAAATCAAATTATKTTCTTGTGGGAATTCAAATTTCTAAAAAAAACCCTTTCTGTTTATTTTTCTCCACAGGCCTTTGGTTTATCTGGGTCTCAAAATATTTGCTCGYTTTGGGATCTGTGAATTCCTGAACTGTTCAGAATCCACTCTGAGGTCCTGGCTGCAAGTTATTGAGGCCAATTACCATTCCTCCAACTCCTACCACAATTCCACCCATTCAGCAGATGTGCTACACGCCACTGCTTACTTCTTGTCCAAAGAAAGAGTAAAGGTGAGTTCACATTCATGAGAAACAGTGCAGGGGGAAATACAGATGCAATCAAAGAAAGATCTCTCAAAAACAGATTCAARAGCCAAATGTTTGCCTAGTGCCAACTAATTTGGTAAATCTGAGTCAGAGACAGGGCTGATTACATGAATTCTAGAATCACCCCAAGTATGGGTAGCAATATTACAGAATTGAGCAATTCTTGATGGGAGAATCAGAAAACCTTTGCAAGTGAAACTTCTTCATGTAGCTGATCCTTCTCAGGTGAGCCAATGACACGATCACTTCTGTGATGGTACATGCCAAATACAGATTTAATAATCTGTAATAAATCCCCATCTCTTACACCTTGGGATGGTCATTTTGCAGAAGACTCACAGGCCATGAAATAGGATATATCACCCACTGGACAAGATGCCTGGAGGTTTACAGAGACAGCATTGGAGGAGAGCATTAAAAAATTACTTGTCAATCCCATAACATCCAGTGGGCTATTCGAGCCTCTGCCACCCAGAATAAATCAGAGCAACTTCTGCTCTCCATGCCAGACTGGAGAAGGGGAATGGGGCAGTGCTTGGAGTGTGTGCAGTGCTGTGCTGTTCTGTATTTCTGAGTCACATTCTTGGGCAGAAATTCCTACCCTGAATTGGACTCCCTAAGGATTGTGCCCATGATGGGCACCTGGCTGAGAAATTTGGGACTGTAAACAAGCTTTTGACAGCTCATTAAAGTGTAGTCATTCCCCTAACTTGTGACAAAGGTGTGGTTAAGGCAAAATTTAAGAGGTACAAAATGGCCMAAAAAGTCAGGCAATGTTCAGTGAAGCTTGTAATGGATTTTCCATTGCTCTGTGTGGAACATCTGACCCTTAGTGACCCTCCAGAGTTTTGGGTTTTCTTCCTCAGCAGCTTGGCCTAAGCTTACGGACAGAGCAGGGTTTCAGTCAGTCTGCCAGGCAAWCTGAGCACTGTTCCATTTTAGCAAACCTTGGATCCCATTGACGAGGTTGCTGCCCTGATTGCTGCCACGGTGCACGACGTGGATCACCCAGGCAGGACCAACTCGTTCCTGTGCAACGCTGGCAGCGAGCTGGCCATCCTGTACAACGACACGGCCGTGCTGGAGAGCCACCACGCTGCCCTGGCCTTCCAGATCACCACTCGTGATGGCAAATGCAACATCTTCMAAAACATGGAGAGGTGAGCCTGACACAGGGGCTGCCCATGAGCCTCTCACCTTCCTGGGGTGACACAAACCCAGCAAACGTCCCCCAGGGCAGCAGTGCCTTGTGARYRACTGCCCATGGCCCTGGTGAAATCWGCTTTACAAGAGTGCAGTGAGTGTTCTGCCCCTCCTGAAAACATCTCCAAATAGCTCCCCAATTCCAGTGTCTCCTGTGGATGAAAAGGCAGAGCCAGTCTAAGRAATGCAGTGTAAATCTTAATGTGAGCAAGGATAGAAGAGTTATTTCATGTCATTGAACGTAGAGAACAAGCTATGGCTGAGGGGATGGCTGTTTGCTGTGTAGAATAAAGAGAGAAAGAGCCACAGAGCATCAGTRAAAATTAAATACTCTGTTGCAGTGGCAAGGATAATGAAGGACCTGTTGCTCTTACACCCTCAGAAAAGCATTTAGGGCAAGGATGTGACCATTGCCTTGATCCTCTCAAGATACAGCAGGAAATTATTACTGGAGCTGGACTGGAGGGTGATCTGAGTGTGTGCTGAAAGCATCGAGAGTGTGTGAGCTCTGGCAGCTCCTGAGATGCTGGAGCTCTGCTCTGCCCAGCCCTGGCTCTGGTTATCCCAGAGATGCAGTTGTGCCTGGAACACGTGTGTTTGTGCACACCAAAGGTTCTCCAGTGCTCTGCTCTGCCCAGCTCTGGCTCTGCCCAGCCCTGGCTCTGTTCCCCAGAGATGCAGTTGTACCCAGAGCAGTTGTGTCTGTGCACACCAAAGGTTCTCCATCTGCCACAGAGGCAGCTGCCCAAGCCTCGATTGCTGCTCTTTCTCCCCCCAGCACCTCTGTCCAGCAGGAATGTCTGTAGCATTTTTGTGAGGTTTGTTTAGCAGCCAGCCCTTTGGGAASCAGCCAGCATTCTTTAATTGTTTCTTCTTTAAACAGGAATGAGTATCGAACCCTTCGCCAGGTCATCATTGACATGGTCCTAGCAACAGAAATGACAAAGCACTTTGAGCACGTCAACAAGTTTGTCAACAGCATTAATAAACCCTTGGCAGCACTAGAAGAAAAYGGGGTAAGCAACACTGCAAATCCTCCCTAAAACACCTGGGCAGGCACTGGGAACTCTCKGCAGTAGGAAATTCCACGTGTGTTCTGAGAAAGAGAGACTGGAGATTTACCTTTCACCCCTGGGTTTGTCACTSGTTTTGAGGGTCAGGGGGACTCACTTGGATCCTGTTGATCCCACAGTGCTGTGGTGTTGTGCTTGGAACCAGAGTTGGGGCTGGATGTTTTCGTGTTAGAAATGCCATTTTGGTTAACCCAGTCACTCCCATGGACAGTGACAAGCCTGGGCACTGTTGGTGTTTCTGCACAGGAGAGAAGGTTTCCTTCAGAGCAGAGGTGAATTCCTCCATAGATCTGGGGGCTGATGTGGTGCCTTCCCTGGGAACCAGGGCCCTCAGCTCCAGTGCTGCATTCATGGGCTTTCTGTCCACCCTCTGTTCTTTTTTAATCTTTCAAATAGATGATGGTGACATTATGTATCATATAGACATAATCAATAGCCATCTGCACACAAAGAAATTGCCTGTTAAGAAGTCATTCTGAGAAACCACACCAGTTTCAATAACAGCTTCAACCAGCAGTTTTGTTGCCACTAAGAGCAGTGTATAGTTTTGCTGGAATGAATTTTGCAAAGAGAAGACTTGCAGGAATGGTTATGATAAAATTTGCATCGGTGGCAACGTCATGTAGGAGCTATAATGGTTTTCTGTATTTTCTTACCATGTTTTTTAGAAAGCCACATGTGTGACTGTTGTGTGCAGTGGGGGAAGGCAGTGTCTTTATTGTCTGAGAGTGGAGAGGAACAARTCTTGTTCCTTCACCCTGAGAAGCAGACTGGAGATGGATTGGAAATGGTACCTTTGAGCACAGGAGGATATGGCAGAATTAGCTTTGTTCTTGGCACCCAGAGATGCTGATGGGAACTCTGAGAATGTGGAGCCAAGGTCCCAGTAGCACATGGTTGTGCTGAATGAATGAGAAGCAGGGATGTTCAGTTCCCAGTTTGGAGAGCCTCTCAGGATGAGCAGAGGAGCAGAGCAGGAGGAGAACACGGCTGGTGTTGGGTAGAGCCCTGCCCTGACCCTGGGCAATGGGGAACTGGGCTCTCAGGGGCTCTCAGGGGCTCTCTCTGCCCTGCCTTGCTGTGCACAGCCCCTGCTCCCAGCCCCAGGATTGCAGCAGAATCCCCCCAAAGAGCCAAACTCCTGCCCTGTTACACAGAGCTGAGCACTGGTGCTTGRACCTGTGCAGTCAGAGAGTAAAAACACACAGCAGGGAMACAGGGAAATKAAATATATGTTCAGTTCTGCCCTTRAGCCCCAGAGACTRCAGGAAAATAATCKGCCCCACAAGGCATTTGTGATTCACAGYAAATTGTGCCCAAGGATGGGAAGAAAGACAAAGAATATATATTTTTTTTATTGAAAACAAGAAGCAAAATGTTTCCCTTCTTTCAGCTGGGAGTTTCAGTTGAGCAAGTTCCTATTARAAGGCCTGTAATCTGTGAGTGGGCAGAGCAAATGATTTACTGTGTGAGCAGATCAACACTGTCAGCCCCTCTTTCAGGCCTGGTGTCCCTCTGGCTGCACAGCAGTTTGTGTTCTCAGTGTTTTCAGGCCTGGCTTCCACTCATGGTGTGACTCACTGTAGTGTTTGCAGGCTGAGCTGCCAACTGCCTGCTCCAAATGGGACAGTTCCACTTTTTTTATTTTTTAATATTTTTATACAAATGTGCTCAAGAGCCATGCCAAGAAGCTGCTCTGTTTGTTTCCTTTCTGCTTTTGTTTCATAAACTGAAAATTGTCCTTTCCAGCTTTATCCATCCTTTACCCTCCCATTTCCCCTGGTGATGTCACCTGGGACAGGRAGCCACCATGTGCCACACAGAGCCACCTCTGCACTCTCAGCACATTTTATTCCCAACACATCTGCATCCAGCMAGTAGAACTGGCCTTAGCTTTGAACAGATCACAGGAGTGAACATTCCTTTCTCTATTCCTGTAACCAGGATTACTAACAGGAATTAATAACCAGGAATTAATAATAATTAATAATAATTAACAGGATTAATAACCTGCTGGGATATTCTCTACTATCCACAACTGAATGATCTCTTATTTTACATACTTAATTTCCATGCTTGTGTTTCTGGAGCTTCCATCACTTTATGTTGSCTTTCTCATCTGTAATTTTTCCATGCATTTGGAGGTGTATACATCTCACTTTGTTCCCTCTGTTTTCCCTTCCTCCCCTAAAAATGAGGGGAGAAAATTGGTTTGGGCCTCTCATTTTGGTAAGAACTGTGGAGCTGTTAGTATACTTTTCTATTAATGTCAGATTCTTCCTTTAGGAAGAACTTTCTTCCCCACAAGAATTTGCTTCTGAAAAATGTCATGGTCATTCTCACCTAATAAAAGGTCAGAATGTTTCTGCTTCTTCGTACAAAACATTGCAGGAACTGGTAGCACATTATTATTATCATCATTATTGTTAGTTCTTCCCTGTTCTGACTGTAGAGCAAGACCTTGTTAGGTGCCAGAAAAGTCTTGCTTCAAAAGATTCCTGTTCTGAGTGGGCAGTGTTGTGAATTGCTGTCCCTGTCCATCCTCACATGGGAGGGGATGGGGAGCAGGTCCAGGGACAGAGTGGGGTCTGAGTGTCAATAGTGGAGGTGTTGCTGCAATGATTGATGCTCTGATTGATGAGGGTGTGTGTGTGCCCATGGTGACTGCAGCTCAGCTCAATCCCTTGTTTTGAACCAACCATTCCCATGTGCAAGTCCATTAATCCTGGGATTTCAGCAGGTACATTTTCTACCTACAYGGTGCTTATCACTGTGTGTGTAGTGATGAATTGAGCCTCTCCACACTTTTGAAAAGGCAGATAAGGCACAGAGGGATTGCCCAAAGATGCCCAAGAGATCTGTCACGAAGCCAGTGACTGAATTCAGAAAGTGGAGCTCAGTGCTAGCTCAGAGCTGTGGCCACCTTTCATAATCCACTATAAATGCAGTCAGACATCAAATATCATAGCCAGGAGCAGGACTGATCCCTGTAGGATTTGTTAAAAGCATTTCCAAAGCACAAWCCTCTTGAGTTAGTGCATGGAGACCTTGCTAATGGATTGTTTYTAATTCTCAAATGTTACAGAATAATGGTGATGGAGAGTCAATCAAAACTGTTCTCAGGTCCCCGGAAAACCGAATCCTCATCAAGCGCATGTTGATAAAGTGTGCTGACATTTCCAACCCCTGCAGACCCCGAGAGCAGTGCATCGAGTGGGCTGGCCGCATCTCTGAGGAGTACTTTGCACAGGTAAGGCAGCTCAGAGAGGCTGCTGGAGATGCAACTCTGGAAAAGGGACGAGGAGGGGGCCAGAGGAGCTGAGGCTGCATCCTGTATTGTGAAAAATAACAACCTTTTTATTTTAAACGCTGGTACAAGACTAGATACCTTCAGACAGATGGAAGTTGATAACTTCTATTGTGCAGTTCYTGAAAAATGTACGCTTTCAAGTTGTTGAGTTTGGAGCTGGGTTTTCTGAGCCTCACCTGCAATGCACTCTGATCACGAGGCAGAGCAAGGATTCCTTTGGTACCCACGGGCTGGCTCTGCCTGGAACAGGATCATCAGCTTCCAGGGCTTGGATGGGAGCAGCTCCAAGRAATGGTGTCAGCCCTTAGCACTTTGTGCTGAACAAAGGTTTTAGGAAGATGTGGGAAAGGAGAGTGCAGTCCTTACTACAGATGATAGACCAAACACTGCAGCTTGGCACCCCAAGCAGGGCTAAGGGATAAAAAAGGTATTTTGCCTTCTCTGAGTGGGACAGAGCATCACTTCCATCAGAGACTGAGAATGCTTGAGCAGCTCTTAGGTCCAGAGCAGGTATAACTTGGTCATGTGTGAGATTGCTTAGGGTCAGCTTGTGTGCAGATACAGGAGGTGAATGTGTCTCTGGGAAACATTGGAAGGCTCAATGAGTCTGTTTTACCAAAACCTCAACAACTCAGTGCTTAAGATGAAGTTGCTGCTGCTTCAGATTTGTTCAGTTCCTCCTTTGGTTTAGTGGATGCACGCTCTGGTCAGTGCCACACAATCTGCTGCTAAAAGAAGCCCATTCACAGAATCTTAGATAAATAATTGTAAACTTTTTTTGCAGACTGATGAAGAAAGAAGGCAAGGTTTACCTGTTGTGATGCCAGTTTTTGACAGAAATACTTGCAGCATCCCCAAATCCCAATTATCATTCATCGATTACTTCATTATTGATATGTTTGATGCCTGGGATGGTAAGTGAAACTCTGCTGTTCYCTGATGTGAACATTTTGTGAACACTTGAAACTGCTGTGATATAAAATTTCTTTATGGCTCCTAAATGGAGAGAAAAGAGAAGATTCCTGCAGTTCAAGTAAGATTAATAACTTGATTATTGCTTGTAAGTATTGCTACAAGCAATTCTCATGGCTTCTCTTTAATATTCTGGATTCAAGCAGTCTTTAACTTTTCAAACTTGCTTCTCTGTAAATGGAGAACAGAGCACATTCTCTTTGACAGCTCTTTGAGCACAGTCATCTTGTCCATGTTAATATTGGTTATTTTTCAAGGCAAATTTCTACAGTCTGGAAGATGCTTGGGGGAGCAGCTGTTTCCTTCCAAGTGCTTCCAAGTGGTAAAAGTGGTCAGAAATGTGACCCTCCTGAATGCCAGATCATGACATGTGACTGAGCTTTGATGGGGCAGGATAATTACAACCATAATTAGCTWTACCCCTCCTGGAAAACTCTGTTCCTTTGCTGGGACTTGCAATACCAGTGTAAAGCAGGTTCACAGAACAGTTCCCAGTGGCCCGAGTGCTACACGAGAGCTGCACAGCCAGGATCATTTCCAGCAGCAGTGGGACAGATTTGAGCTTTTTTACTTCACACAGTTACCCAGACATTTCAAGTGATGCTTGGGCAGATAGAATCTGTGACTGGTTCAGTTCTGCACCATTTCAAGCAGCAGTGTGACAGATTTGAGCATTTTTACTTGACACAGTTACCCAGACATTTGAAGTGATGCTGAGGCAGACAGAATCTGTGACTGTTTGAGTTCTGCACATTCAACACTCTCTGCCCTTTCTTCCCCAGCATTTGCAGACCTGCCAAACCTGATGGAGCATCTGAATAACAACATCAAATACTGGAAAGGACTGGATGGGAGGAACCTGCGAGCCCTGCGGCCGCCACCAGAGTAGCAGTTGGGYCATGGTGTGGAATTTACTGCCCAGATGCACATTTATTCCAGCTCACTTTGCTCCATGTGGATTCAGATCTGTTTTGGTCTCTTCAGTGTTACAGCCAAGCTGTGCATTGGGGAACTCTCACAGTCAGGAGAACACGAGGTCAGCATTGAATTCACCGAGTGGGGATTGGAGGAAATAACCCACGAGTGGAATTACACTGGATTGCTGCAGCACTCCACTGGAGAGGGTTTGTCAGTGAAATTTCTGCCATATCTTCACACCAGCACGGGAAGCTGGAACACCTTGAAGAATCCTCGGAAAAAGGACATTCACTAGAAGTTTATCTATTAMTAGAGACTCACAGCTTTTATCAGAAAGCTGCATGCTTTTTATAAGCACTTAAGACAGTGACGTAGAACAATCAGACATTTAAAATGCAACTGTCTATGAAAGAATTTTTGATCTATGAAAAATAGATGTACTGTATTTTTTCACATCACAGAAGGTGCAATCATTCACTTCTGAGCACTACTGAAAGTGAGTTCTCCTTAAGAAATTTAGTAGCAAATGTAAAAAATAACACGAGAATTTTTGAGGTTGATCGTTAGCATCTATGATTAAAATGTTATGTTTTATTTATTTTGTTAGATGTTCAATATTTTCTATGAATTTATAAATACTTAAAAGCCAAAGCCAACTTTAGATGCATTATAAATTTACATGATTCATACTCATTAATATACATTTAATTGATGTACAGACCTTTTATTTTCATAATGCAAATACAAAATACTATACAATGATACATTTTTATTGCACTGTAAGGATAGATGTGTATGTTTAAATATTGTCTGATTTATGTTAATTAAAATAAGTTTTATTAAAAAGGTCTCACTTGAGAATAGTAGAATAAACARGAACTGTATACTGTCTGAGCACCAGAACTGCAGCAGTTCTCCCACAAACCAGTGAGGAGCACCTGATCTTCTCTTGGCTGCAAAAATAATAATGTGGTGGAACTCTGTTTTCTCCCAAGACATTTTATGACTGAATTCCCTGTTAAAATCTGCCTTATTTTATATCGTATTTCTACAAAGCATTCCACAGCATATATGAAGAGGTGATACTAAGCATCTAATGAATTTCAACATTTTATAGCCAGTGTATTTTCCTCTGCCATAAAAGAAAAAGAACAGAAAACCACCAACAAAAACCTTTAACTGAAGAAGTTTGTAAAGGCTGTACSTTCACAATTTGAATGAAACCTTCATAGCAGCTACCAGAAAATAATAAAATGTATATTTTAAGAAGTGTCAAGTCCTACCCATTTCATTTGAAATGTATATTCGCTTTGTMGTTTGCAGACTAACAAAGACATGAGTTATTCTTTTAAAAATAACTAAAATCCTTGTCTGGGAGGGAACAGTTGAGGGGTTGGGCTGGGGTAATGRAAGGTGGTTTGGAGCTGGCAAAGCCCTGTGTTTGTGGCTGCCCTGGCCAGCCCATCCCACCCTCTGTGCCTTGGACAGGTSTGCTCACAGCTCCAGCGGTGTCACAGAGGGATTGAGGAACGTCCTGCCAGCCTTCCCGGGCCACAGAAAGGCACCCAAAGGCACTGCAAGGATTGCTGACTGTCATTGCTGCAGTTCAGAGACATTTGGAACCATTGCTGAAGGTGCASAAGCTGGGGACAGGGGGGTGATGGACTCTGTAGTCCTGTGAAGCAGCAGCATCACCCCATCCTTTCTACAAGCAAGACAAGTGAGTCAGGAAAGGCCAGGGGACCCAGAGCCAGGAAGCAGAATTGGCTTTGAGGCCTCTAAACATCTTGCAAGTCCTGACCCTTCAAGCCCTGCCTGTGGTTTAACAGTGAATGTTAAGCCAGCAAACAGTCTTCTGGTCTTCTCATGATCTACATTCCCCCCCTCTCTTGCAGCTTCTCTGTTTCTATTTTATTTCTTACCTCATTTGCTTTGCCTTAATTTCCACTGGCTGAACATCTCCCTCAAACGCAGCCCTCACGCTGGGACTAAACCCTGCCTTTCAAACTGACTCTCACTGCTCACCACAGCTTTTACCACACAAAAACCTTCTTCATTCTGGCACAAAGTGAGCCTGGACAAATGGCCGARAGCCTTACACTGCTGTCCACAGGCAGAAGGAGAATATTGGCACAGTGACTGACCCAGCTTGTGAGCGCTGTGTGTGCTCGGTCTGTGACACTGTGACACACAGAGAGAGCTTCAGGAGTGTTCCAGGCACCTCTGCCTTGGAGGTTGTGTTAGCAAGCACAAGCAGCAGGGGACACGTGTTAAAATTGGAATCTGCCTTTTCTTGGTTTGCTTGCTCCCCCCCTCGAGTGGCAAGAGTCATTGCTAGAGCAAAACTCCTCTAGGTTCAGGCCATGGTAATCGGTGTCCCCTCCGGGCAGTGTCCCGATGCCCTGCCCTGCTCAGCCCAGCCCTGCCCTGTCCAGCCCTGCCCTGCAGTCCCGTCTCACCTGCCTCGCCGGCCCCTCTGCAGCCCGGGATGGCCACGCTGCACTCGGGGAGGGGGCTCTGGGTCCGCTCGGGGTTTGCGAACATCGAGGACATCCTGAGTGCTGTGGGAGAGAGTGGGGGACGTGCTGGATGGGAACCTTGCCGCTGCCTCGGGGTGCCCCAGCCGGGGCTAAAGAGGGGTAAAGAGGGGCTCAGCAGCACCAGCACGGGAGATCTCCCCTCTCTTCCATCCGCATCCTGGAGCGGGGCTGCCCGGGGTATCCTCATCCCACAGTTCGGCCAGCAGCGCACGCAAAGACAGGGACTCGCCCAGCGCTCTGCCCACTCATCAGACCCCAGAAAGAGAAGAAACGCAGTCTCTCACATTAAAACCCGCCGGCAGCGGGGCTGCGGGGTTCTCCGGGAGCTCGGGCCGGGGAGCGCTGTCCCTGCACGGCCGGGGCTGCGGTGAGTGAGGCAGGGAGAGGCTGCTCGGGCTCCGGCCAAACTCCGTGCAAGGGAAGCTGCCACGCCGCGGGATGGACACGCTGCCCCGGGCACCCCAGCACGGGCTCCCGGCAGGGCACACGCCGGCACCGCGAACTCCCCCGGCTTCGGGCAGACACCCCTGGGCTTGAAACCTCCGCTCGGTGGCCACCTGGCCACGTCCCGGCCCCTTGCCGAGCCCTCAGCTCCTCGCCGTGTCCCAGCGAGCCCCAGGCCGGTCCCTGTGCCCTGGCTGAGCCGCGCACTCATCACAGCTCGGGCAGGCAGGGGCAGCAGCCGGAGCCGCCTGTGCAGCCCCCTGCCCTGCCCTGCCCGGCTCCTTGGGGTGCGATTGGACACAGACACCTTCTGCTGCCGGCAGAGCCTTCCCAGGGACAAACACACCCCTTGCCCAGCCAGAAGAYTCGATCCCAAGTGGAGAAGGGAGCCCAGGCAGCACTGAGCAGCGCCCGCACCAATCCCTCAGCCCGCACCCGGGGGCTCTGAGCCCGAGCAGGTGGCGGAGGCTGAAATCAGCGTTGTCACGGCGATCACAGACATTTGGGATGGGGCCCAATGCCCGGCACCCTTGGGAATATTGCCCGTTAATGCAGGCAGGATATTTTTAAACCCTCCCAAAATAGTCTGGGAGTGTGGAAGTCCCTGCAAATCCGAGGGATGGGGATCACAGGGATAACTCCCCTGTGGGAAGCAGAGCCCCTCTGAGGACTCCTGACCCCAGAGCCCCTTTGGACACAGATCTAAGGTGTTTAAAAGCAATCGGAGCTAAACATGGAATTTTAAGCTGGGTATCCATGAGGATCACTGACAGTGGTGCAAGTGCAAAACTCTCCCCTTCTCACCTAAACTCCGATTTTTGGGGGATCCTGCTGGGGCTATGACCCTGAGGCAACAGCTTTGCCATCATGTGCTACCCTGAATGATCCCAGCTGCYGGGATGAGGGGGTTAAGGAGGGAGCAAAAAATAGACCTTCAACAGCATAGGCTGGTAAGGTTAAACTATTCATCAAAAACAAAACAAAACTAACCACAGGTAGTGATGGGGAGATCCAGGAAGGAGCCTCCCATGTGAGCCGTGTTGTCAGCCCTCCTTGGCACCCCACAGCAGAGGTGAAATAGGATTTCTAGCYAGGAAAAGCTGTGATTAGCATACAAACGAGTGATGTGCCACAAATAACACTTTTCTTCACTCAACCTCTATGTCAGTCACAGGGGTTTATCCCCTCTCACAGCTGGATATTATGGGAYATTATGGGGAGATTTTTTTGGTGAGGAGGGGTTGTTGCACTTCATTCTTCTCACCATGAGATCCCCAGGTGAAGCACAGGCTGTGTGAGGGCTCTTTGCAACTGGGATGGATGTTGTGAATGCCTCTCCCTAGGCAAAGGTCTCTCCCGGCCCATGGCAACACTTGAGSAACAGCCAAGGCCCTTTCCACAGCCAGGCTGGGCAGCCACAAGATTTGCTGATGTCATTTACCWCCCTGTGGCCATAAAGGGAAACAAAGCAGTGTGGCAATCTGCTTTCTCCATCCATGCAAATGTGTCACCCTCCCCAGGCTGGGTTCCTTTAGGGCATCACAAGGAGGATGCCTGAGAGTGGGGAACCTAAAGCAGGTTTAGGTTCCTGGGTGTMCTGCAGGGGATGATCTGGGCACCTCTGCCATGCCTGGCGCTGGCTGCTGACCCGGGAACCCTGCCTGAGTTTGGGTGGGCAGCTGAGCCGGGCGGATGCCTTTGAAGGGCCCCGGTCATGAGCTCAGCTATCTTTAGCCCAAGGTATTTGTGTTATAGGGCTGCTGGGCTGTGCAGCAACGGCATCAAAGGGCGGAGAAGGGCAGAGGGGGCTGTGCCGGGGCACGGCACCAAGGGGCGTCCGGTGCTCCCCACCCCTGAGAGCTGCTGAGCTCGGGGTGAGGATGACCCCGGAGGAGGAAGGTTCCCAGGCCAGGCCCCCGGAGAGGGTGCGTATCCGGGTGGAGGAGCAGTCATTCTGGGTGGAGAAGGCCTTGCTGCTGGAGAGCAGTGAATATTTCCGTGCCCTGTTCCGCTCGGGCATGAGGGAGAGCACGCAGGAGGAGATCGGGCTGGGGGAGCTGAGTGCTGCCGGGTTCCTGGCCATGCTGCGGGTGCTGGAGGGCGAGAGGCCCGTCCTCGGCAGCGAGGAGACCTTCCAGGCCGTGGAATGTGCTGCCTTCCTGCAGGTGAAACCCCTGGCCAAGTACCTGATCCACTCCATCAACTCTGACAACTGCATCCTGCTGTACCAAGCCGCTGCCATCTTCGGCCTCCTGGATCTCTTCCACTGTGCTGCGCTCTACATCAGGGACAGCTACACCGAGCTGCAGGAGTACCTGGACTGCCTCTCTGGTGACCTGCTGGCCTATGTGGAAGCCCTCCTACCCTGCACCTTTGTGGCAGTGGGAGCACACACACCTACGTTCGAGTTCTTGGAGGACCTCTCCAGGACCATCTGCTACCTGGACGAGGAGACTAACACGTGGAGGACCCTCTCGTGCCTTCCTCTGAGTGCCAGCACGTTCCTAGCCGGCATGGCAACCATGGATAACAAGATTTACATCGTGGGGGGTGTCTACGGGGCCAACAAGCAAGTGGTGGAGAGCAGCTTCTGCTACGATGCCGACACCGACACCTGGAGCGAGTTCCCCAGCCCGCACCAGCTGCGCTACGACGTCAGGCTGGTGGGCCACGAGGGCTTCCTCTATGCCATTGGCGGCGAGTACGAGAAGATCTCGCTCAAGTCTGTGGAGAGGTACGACCTGGCCTCCAGCACCTGGACATTTGTCTCTGATCTGCCGCAGCCGAGCACTGCAGCACCCTGTGCCCAAGCCGTGGGGCAGATCTTCGTTTGCTTGTGGCAGCCACTGGACACCACTGTCATCTACGAGTACGAGACCCAGCAGGATGTGTGGCTGCCTGTCACCGAGCTCAAGCGGCACCAGAGCTACGGGCACTGCATGGTGGCCCACCGTGACAACCTCTACGTCATGCGCAACGGCCCCTACGACGACTTCTTGCGTTGTGTCATTGACTGCTTCAACCTGACATCGCGGCAGTGGAGTGCCCTGCCCGGGCAGTTCATGAACAGCAAGGGAGCCCTCTTCACTGCTGTGGTCAGGGGTGACACCATCTACACYGTCAACAAGATGGCAACAGTCCTCTACTCGGTGGAAGAGGAGACCTGGAAGCAGAAGAAAGAGCGGGCAGGTTTCCCACGCAGCGGCTCCCTGCAGACCTTCCTCCTGCGGCTGCCGAGACGGGACCATGACATCGCCACGTAATGTCACCAGTTCCAAATCGGGGTGCTCTCCTTGCAYGTGGCCTCCACTCTGCACCACTGCTCCCCTGGGCTCCTCTCCTGCTCCACGGAGCCATGCCCAGCTCCAGGGATGCATCGTGTTGGACACTGGAGGTGACTGACATTAGACCCTGCCAGAGGGACAGGGCAGCTGCTGTCTGCCTCTTCCTGCCCTGCATGGGCACCAAGTCCTGTCAGCCATGGGCTCACAAGCCAGCCGTGTGCAGGACATGGTGGCTTCTGCAGAGGACAGATACCACAGAGATGCAAACATGGGATTTATTTATTCTGACTGCACTCTGAGGGTGTGCAGCATTCCACCTCCTCTCTGCCTCAATGGGAAATCATTCATTATATCCTGGAATTAAAAGGAAAGCTAMAGAAAAGCTTCTCATTAGTGTGTTTTTCACTACTCCTGGGGTTTTTCCCCACTGCTGGGCTCTTTCCCCCCTCTCCTGAAGGAAAATACCTCCTACCAGAGATCCATGTCAGGACTCGCTCCTGCCCCCAATGCTTTTTCAGCTGCAGCTCCATTTCAGAGCCGTTTGTGGGAGCGCAGTTCCCACGCAGCCCTCCCTCCCCTGGGAATTCTCCTTGGCTGAGCAGGGTCCTGGGAGGAGGACGGGAGATGGGGAGTGAAAGAAAGCAGCTCCTGGATCAAGTGCTTAATGTGCCAAGGGTTTTCTGGGACTGGGGAACCATCCATCACCCCCTCAGCCCCAGCACAGACCCAGCTGGGTGGCAGTGCTGGCTCTCATCAGAGACTTGCTTGAGCCAAGTCGGGGCCTTTTGAGGACAGGGCAAAGCTTGGAAGTGCAGAAGGTGCCAGAAGGGAAGGAGTAGAGRGAGTGGCACCATTACATGGTGATACCAAGCTGGCAGAGGAGCTGTTCCCATTAGATCCCCCCAYCTGGACAGCCCTCAATAGCAGCTCTGGGGATGGCTGGGCAGCACAGAGCTCCCCTTTGTGACCACAGGGACCAGGGCAGCAGCAAACCCAGACCCCAGCTCARCTGGTTTCTCATGCATGGGGCAGGCTTTGGGCTGCCTGTGCTGTCCAGGCTGGGAGAGGAAGGGAATACCAGCTGAGATGCCTCAAATACTTGYGCTGCTGATCCTCGCCGAGTCCTCAGCATTTTCCAAACAGCTCCTGCATTCGAGAATAAACCCACTCAACGCAACCGCAAACCAAAACAAACCAGAGAACCTCAGCTTGCACCCACAGCCAGATGGAAAACCACTGGGTGTGTCTTGTCCCCTTTTGCTCCCTGCCCCTGGGTCACGTCCYGCTGTGACCTGAGGGGACTGCTGATGGTGGAGCTGCAGGTGTGGCAGTGGCATGGGGGAGGCAGGGGACACCCATGGACCTGTCCCAGCTCTGCCCTGGCACTGGCAACTGAGCAGTGTCACTGTTCTCAGGTGGAACATTACAGGAACCCATCAAGTCAAATCCTTGTCCCCTTCCCAAAGCCAATTAGCATTTCACATTATCTTCTCCTGAGAGCAGAACATGGAAACACATTGCTTTAAAACAATTTTAAGTTGAACAAACAGCTTAAATGTCCATTAAAATAAAGTTAAAATAATTCTGTTACTAAAATATTTATGTTGGGCTCCTGTGGCCAACCCTGGACTGCAGAACTTGGCAGGCTCACTGCTTCCCTCCAGCTCCAACACCAAGTGATACAACGTCCTCCCCACCTCCACACGTGGCTTTTTGACAGTTCAGGGGCTTACAAAGATATTTGTCAACAAAATGCAAAAGGTTTTAAGACTCCAARAGTAGCACTTGTGGGAAAGTGTGAGTCTTGGCAGGTGGTTGAGTATGGCACAGATGCTCCCAAGAGCCATTTGTTGAATCCATCAGTCCAGGTGCAAAGGGAGGAAAAAAGACACATTTCTTACCTTTGCAAGAAGTGATGAGCCAGGACCAATAAAACCACTGAGGGCAAGAAGCTGCCTCAGCCTTTGCACAGTGAGTGGACACGATACTGCCAATGTGCTYTGTTCCACCAGAATTCAGCACCACTGGCACCTGCACAGCACCCTCATCTTCCCCATTCCAAACTCACCATGTTTGCTCCGCCAAAGATCACAATTTGAGGTGATGCGATCTGCCTAATTGCAGTTTAACCTTTTGCAAGTCTCTTTTATAAGGTGACATCATCTTGGCAAGGGGGACAAGCTGTCTGTAGATGGACCTGCCTTATGAGAGCTGTATCAAAAATAAAAGCTTGTATAACCAAGGAAAAATAGGGCTGGCAGTTCCAAGAGCCTGTGAACTCCCCAGAAATATCTCCCTAGGACACACATGATGCCTCCATTTCCATTCCAATGCCTTAAAGAAGAGCAGGAATAAAGCATCCTTGGGGATGGATGGATGGATGAACACCCCTAAAACCTGGATGCCAAGTTTCCTTGTTGCATTCAGGCAAGAATGAAGGCAGCCATGGAGAGCTGTACCTTCCTGTCTGGCATCCATCTGGAGATCCAGGGAGTAGGGACAGGGTGTTTTACCTTGATGGCAGTGCATTGCACTGGGAGATCATCTGGAAGGATACAGTGGAAAAATGGTACTAATACAACTAAGGATTTTCTCTGCTGGGTTATGCCAGTTGGCATCCTGACAGAAAAGGACACAAACACATTGCAGAAGAACCCCCCAAGCATTTTTACTCAAAGAAATTACATCTGTATCTAATTCACAGGAAAATAACATACTTTATGTGAAAACACTGTCCAYTGTTGCACTGCCAAGCCAAGACACACATCCTGTGCACTGATCTGAATCTCCCATTCTCTGTCCTTCAATTACAGAAATTCTCTTGGGCATCCAGATGTTCCTGATGCTGACATTCATACTTAACTTCATTTGGAGCCATTGTCTTCACAGTTTAGGGAAGCATCCCCTGACTTTTCCAGATTTGGGCAGAGCATGAGGGCAGCGAGCAGTTCCCCATCTCTCTGTTCTGATTTCATGAAGTTGCATGAGGACAAACCTTTGCTTTCACCATTTTTCATTGCACTCGATAAACTTGATGTATTTCAGAGCAASGACAGCCTGTTTTCTTTCCTTACCCACATGGAACTGCATATTTTTCTCACATTTCTGGTTTGAAAGAAGAAGTTAATGTGATCAAAGTGGATTTCAATGACAATATTCAACCATGACTAAGCCAGCTGAGACTCTTCCCAAGCCAGGACCAACACATGTTCCTGCAAGAGCCCTCATTTTTCAGGAAAACAATTTCTTCTGTTGATTTATATAATCTCTTAAGAATTCCTATTTGATTGTAGCTGAAAACATGACACCCATYACCCCCGGTGGAGGGAGAACACTTTGGTTTGGCTTGGGTTTTGCAAAAATGGAAGCCGAAGGCGGTTTGGATTTTCTTTCATCTAATGTGAACAGCTGAGATGATCAAGGGTGGGGATGTGTGGGTGAGGAGAAAAACATTCCTGCAATGAAATCGGTGCCTGAATGACAAACACTCTTCTGATGGATGTCCATAAAATGAGACACCAAGGCAGAGCTGAGAAGGTTGGTGTCTGGTGCTTGCAGGGGTGGGGATGGAGCAGCAGAATCACTCGAGTCCTTCTTGTCTGGACTGGAAAGGGGAAGCTGTGACTGCTCAGTGCGTTTTCATCACGAGCTCTTCCAGTGCCCTCTCCCTCTGATTCCCACAAAGCAAAAGAACTTCTTTGATTTCATTTTGCTGGAAACCCATATCRTTAAACTGAGCCAACAGATGCAAGAATTCAGCTGCCTGGAGGAAGAAAAAAGAGAGAGGAATGATGTTATCACGGGTGGATTATTATGGGGGTGCAGCAGAAGCAGTGCTGTGGGACATGGCTGCAGCCAGAAGATCTGGCAGGGATGGGTCACCGTGATGGCAGATTGAGGGCACACATATCCCTGGTAGCATTGAAATTTCTTAAATAGGAAGTATTTAATAAAGTCAGCCTCTAGATTCACTTATTCCTTATAAAGTTTATATCAATTCCATCCAGTGTTTGTCTGCGTTATAAAGAGGAATGGCAGTGAGCACAGCTGGAACTCATTTGTCCTGCTCCTCTCCTTGCTCAGGCTGGGCCCCAGCAGCACAACATCACCTGGAGCTGTGTCCTCAACAAATAAACCCTTCCCTGACAGCGAGACCCAGGCACCCTCCCAGTGCCACTGCCCTAAGGAGCAGTGACACGGCAATCCTGTGGCCATSGGCATCCCAGCAAACACTGCCAGCCCAGATTTCATGCAGTTCCACCTCCCCAGGCTCTTCATTACCCCCAGGAGACACTGATGATGGAGACAAATGCCCAGTTCTCCATGGTTCTCCTCCCTGGGGGTAGAAGGGAGGGTTGGCAGGGCAGGAGTGAGCATGAGTGGGCTTGGGATGGGATTGCCTGTGCAGGGGCTGAGTGAGCTTCGTGCTGCACAGCAGGGTGAGAGGAAGGGAAGAGTGAAGGAGAAGGTGTCCTCCTCCAGGGGTCCTTATGGTGACACTGCCCCACAGGTCTGGCCCTCCATAAGGCTGTAGGAGRGGCTGTGGAGGCAGAGGGAATTATGCAGCCCATTTGAAGAGAGAGCTGGAGGACACAGCACAAAGGGTCAGGCTGTGCCATCCCATTCTGACCTTTTTCTCCGAGTACTGGAACATTTCCATGGCTTCCTCCACCTGCCCTTCCTCRTAGCCCTGCTTCAGCAGCCGGTCACAGGCACCCAGGTAGCTCAGGAACTGCAGAGGAAGACAGTCAG